ATGTGTGTGTAAAGCCAGGTGTTCCAATACTTTTGGCAATATAGTGTATATAGAAAATCTCCATATGCAGAATCCTTCCCACCATACTTCCAGAGGAAGGCAAAGTAACCCCTATAAAGCATGGTCCAGTTTTCTACAGGGGAGGGGAGGGGGAATCCTCCCAGATCCCTCAAGGAAGTTGGATATTCCCTAGATCCACATTCTTTGGTGTTATTGCCTATAATTGTCCAGCTCTTTTTTAAATCAATCAACTGAGCTGCCCAGAACTATTACTTGACTTGATGGGGTCTATTCCACTTTTTCACAGCTCTTACCGTGAAAAAAACCTTTCTGTATGTGGAGGTTAAATCTATTTTCCTCCATACATAAAGAGTGCCCCCTTGTAGTTTGTAATGACCTTAAATTAAGTTAAACCTAATTTGTAACATAGATGCCCAGTTAAGTCTGCTTGCAAGTCTGAGACCTCCTGTAAGGATGCTATTCCACTACATAGCGTGGTGTCATATGCAAACACAGAAATGGTACTATATCATTTATAAATAGGTATAAAAGTAGGGGTCCCATCACTGAACCATGGGGTACACCACTAATAACACTGTTCAACAGGTAAAAAGTTTTGGGCATAAAATTAGCTAATCTTACATAATTTTGGGGTGCTGAAAATGAAAATGACCCTAAAAAATGTTGATTGGCTCTAGTTTCCATGATATATTCACCCATCTAATGACGTAAGCCATTCAAAATTATGATGCAACTTCAGCTGCATATTGCGCAATTGATACTGGTGACCAATAGAAAATTGCATGTATACTGAGATGATGCAAAATTAGCCTTTAATTGCATCACTTCACTGCATAAAAGCTGCAGTATCTGTAGCTGATTGTAGTTCGACAGCGTCTTTACATTTCGTTTTATGCTTATATAGGCTACTCAGTAATGCCTCGAACTTGTGTGAATAAAGCAGATAATTTCTGCTATATCTGCGGTGAAATAACTTTTATCTCACAAAAAAGGAGGATAACAGGAATGATTAAGAATGCCTACAACTTGTATTTTGGCTGCAAGATAGGAGACCAGGACAAGAGCTGGGCACCACATATATGCTGCAATTCTTGTGGGACGGCACTGGAGCAATGGTTGAATGGAAAAAAGGCATCTATGCCTTTCGCTGTGCCAATGATTTGGAGAGAGCCAACAGATCATGTTAGTAATTGTTACTTTTGTATGGTGCCTCCAATTGTAAAAGGGCTAAATAAGAAGAAAAAGTTATCTGTGCACTATCCAAATATTCCATCGGCAATACGTCCAGTTCCTCATGGAGAGGGGCTACCAATTCCTAAAGCACCAGAATCCTTCGTGGTTGAGTCAAGTGAGGAAGAACCTGAAGCGTGTAGTCACGTGCAGTTGTAAGAGATAGCCCTTTCCTCGAATACAAGAGAAAAGCCAAGAGAAGCAAAACCGACACAAACTGAAGACAAAACTATTGAGAATCCTAAGTATTAAAATGATTCAACTTAGCTTATGGCTATAATTTTTCTTGGTAATCCTATGCAATATATTATGCCATTTAGGCTTTGTTATGTAGTCAATATCACTTGCTTTATATTTGTGGAAAGACATCTATCTATATAATTATTGTGCATTATGTAATCATTACGCCTATAGTAGAAAACTTTCCGTTTACAGAAAAACTAGAGCCGATTGACAAATTTCATTGTTATATTTGAACTCAGAATGTGAAATTCATTAAGAAATGGATCCTTTTGTTTCCAAAACTGGCAAAAAATAAAAATTTGTTGAACAGTGTAACCTTAGACCTTTCAGAGTATGAATCATTATAGACTTTAACTTACCCATTAGCAGTGTATGGGGAGCTGTGTAAAAACACTTTTGCGAAGTTCAAGTGCATATATTTATTCACAAAAACTCCTTTGTCAATGTTTTTGCTTGCTTCACTTTAAAAAGAAAGCAGATTTGTTTGACAACTTTGGTCCATGCTGACTATTGCTTATAATATTGGTTTTGTTTTTAACCACAAGTCTGGACACTTTCACTCCCTTCCTGTCCAGGCCAATTTTCAGCTTTCAGTGCTATCACACTTTGAATGACAATTGTGCAGTCATGCCACACTGTACCCATATTAATTTTTTAGCATTTTTTGAGACAGATAAAACTTTATTTTGGTGGTATTTATTCACAACTGGGATTTTTATTTTTTTGCTATATAAATGATTATACAATTTGTAAATAAATAATATTTCTTCATAAATCTTGGCCAAAATGTATTCAGCTATCTTTTTAGTAACATTTATATTTTATTTGTTATATTATTATTTAGGTTTTTTTTAACATGCTGTCACCCTAGCAGTACAGTGTCACCATAGTGACATTGTACTACTTGTGGGGGGTGATCAAGATTTTTTTTCTTTTTTTACACTGATTGCTTTTACACCTATAAAGGCTATAAAAGTAATAATTTCTCCTTCTCTCTGGCTGCATTCTTGCAGACATTGAGAAATACTGTGAGAACTGTGATTGGTCACAGCTTGTCACATGGTACAAGGCTGTTGTGAAGAGCCTTGTACAGGGGCGGACTGACCATTTGGAAACTTAGGCACTGCCCGAGGGCCTGGGGTCAGTAGGGGGCCCCATGAGATGCCCCTGGTACCCTTTTCATAGGCTTTTTTGAGTTTGGGCAAGGACAGAGGGGCTCCATGATCCCCTATTGCCCGGAGGCCCCATGAGTTGTCAGTCCGCCCCTGGCCTTGTACCATGTGACCTCTGTAATCATTCACAGAATTTACAAGTAGTAAGCAATGATGTCAGGAAGTGACATCTTGTTTACTTCTATTCATGTGATCACTGAATGCGCCCCCACATTCCCTGCCTGTGCGCACTCCCCGGGAGCACACGGCACCGCGATCCGGTGTCCGCTGTGTCCGGAGGTCCCGATCATGTGATCACTGATTGGCCAATCAGTGATTGCATGATATAAACAGCGACCCGCTTCGGCACTGCTCCAGTCCGGCCGTTTATGTACATGGGCTGGATGGAAAGTGGTTTACTAAACTCTGAGGTATCTTCCTGACTATAGAAGTTAAACTAACAGGTCCATAGTTACTTGGTAACTTTTTAAAAAATAGGCAACACATTAAATGGTACCACGCCAGTCAATAAAGTGGATCTAAAGTTCCACTGTCACAAACTGTGAGCAGGCAGGCTGTTTATTGCAGAAGAGACATGCAATGTGGATGTCCAAGGAAAGGAAGGCTGTAATCATAGTTCACCAGCAGATGGCAATGCAGGAGAATACTATTTATTTCCTGCCCGATTTCACTGATTTCACTGTTCCTGCTAATGGTAAAACTGAGCTTCTTGTGGTGGGCAGAGTACTCTTAAATTCACTACACCAATAGGTCCAAGTCATTATAGGTGTTTTAATTTTAACAAAAAACCCCTTTAAATTTGAAATCTAAGTACAACGGAGCCTAATTTGTTGAATCTCTGCTGGAAATAATTAGAAAACCTGTTAGTCTCCAAGATTCACAGACTGAATATCTGTAGTTCTTTTTTTTAATTTCCGCTTGACACTGCTTTTGTCAGATTAGAGCCACTCAGTCATGTCTCCTAGTGACATCTGTGTCAGATAAAGAACAGAGAAGAACAGATTCATATTCTTTATCTACAAAGACGCGACCCAGCCCTTGGAGCTGATAAATATTGAACCAGCTATTACAGTTATCTTTTATTCTTAATAAGCAAAAATGTTACGTAGGAAAAAATGCAACTTAGCTAGAGTGGACAATTTTAAAGAAAATCAATGACAATTTTAATGTATTTTGAGATATATAAACAAGAAAATTTGATGCTAAATGTTGCTTAAAGAAGACCCGAACTGTGACTAAAAAAGACAAGCAGAGAATAAAGGATTATACCTTTAGGGATGATGTTTGGGATTTCTACTGCCATAGGTTTGAGGTGAATCCTACGTGGTCATGGTTCACGAACCTGATGAAATAATGCAGAGTACCTATAATGTACTGAATGGGTTTTAAACCTAGGTTAGATGGTTTAGAATGGCCAACAAAAGGAATTTGGGATAAGCTAGCCTCCTAACTATAAAAGGATGGGTTTCCTGCAGCCATATTGACAATTTTGCTTTGGCTGTGCTAGTGAAAGAATCGAAAGTGCTGCTGATAATGTGCATAGGGAAAGACTAGTGTACGGCTTGTGGGCACTGTCAGATTTATTCTAAAACCTTACTGAATGTCCAGTAGGAGAATTTGGGTGTTGGAGGTACAAAGGGATCCAACTTCTTTTATCCCTAGTTACATCTTAATTCTGCTGATGTCCTGTTAGCCGTACCAGGCTGCATGTGGTTTTCACAGGGCACCTTTCCTTGTTGGTGTTGGCTGCCAATGCTCTTTCATAGGCCTTTTTTTAAGTGGGCCTTCCATGAAGCCCCCCACCACCCAAAGAAAACTTCCCTGCAAAGGTGATTTAACCACTTGCCTACAAGGCACTTATATCCCCTTCCTACCCAGGCCAATTTTCAGCTTTCAGCGCTGTCGCACTTTGAATGACAATTGCACGGTTATGCAACATTGTAATCATATGAAATTTTATCATTTTTTTAGACAGACAGAGCTTTCTTTTGGTGGTATTTAATCACCTCTGGGTTTTTTATTTTTTACTAAATAAACCAAAAACAACTGACAATTTAAAAAAAAAAAGTTTTTTCTTAGTTTCTGCTATAAAATTTTGTAAATAAGTGATTTTTTTTTCTTCACTGATGTACGCTAATGAGGCTGCAGTGATGTACACTGATAGGCGGCACTGAAGAGCACTGATGAGGAGGCACTGGTAGGTGGCACTGATGGGCAATGACATGCATCACTGATGGGCACTGAAAGGCAGTACTCATATATGGCACTGATAGGTGGCACTGAGGCAGCACTGACTGGCCCTGTTAAGTGGCACTGACTGGCACTGTTAGGTGGCACTGACGGGCACTGATAGGCAACACTGACTGGCACTGATAGGCGGCACTGATTAGTAGCACTGAAAGGCAGCTCAGATGGGTACTGATATGTGGCATTGATGTGCACTGGTAGGCACTGATATGTGGCATTGATGGGCACTGGCAGGTGGCATTGATGGGCACCGACAGGTGGCATTAATGGACACTGACAGGTGGCACTGATGGGGATACACTGATCATCAGGGCACACTGATCATCAGTGCCCTGATGATCAGTGTAGATGTCCCCTCTGAGGAATTCTGATTACCGGTTCTCCTCTCCTCACGAACTGTCAGCTTGACAGCTTGTGAGGAGAAGAATGCCGATAACCGGCATTTCCTTGTTTACATGCGATGAGCTGTAATTGGACACAGCTGATCACATGACAGAACCAACGTCATCGGTTCTTTCTGTTGGTTGGTGATCCGCTGTGTCCTAGGGACACAGCGCACCACTGATCGCTGTGCAGGGCAGCACACTCGTGGTTAGAGTGGGAGAACATCATATGACGTCCTCCCAGAATGAGAGAACCGCCTTGCGCCCATCATTTCCTTATATGGTGGACGGGAGGCGGTTAAGCATAAAGTTAAAATAAATACTCATTTGGCCCTGGCTTCTAGCACTTTTGGGAGGTTCAAAATCTCACAAAGATGTCCGTGCAATGGGCAGAGGGTGCATTCTTGAGCAATTTCAAGCACTCAGCTATCCCAGGAGGGGAAGGTGAGGCACAGTGATATCACCCGCTTCTGCCAGAACTAGGGGCCCAAAGTAATGCTCTTATTGTGTGTGTGTGTGTGTGTGTGTGTGTGTGTGTGTGGGGGGGGGGGGGGCAGGGCTCAACAGAGCAGACATGGAGATAGGGGCAAAAAGTGCTCCAATAAGGACCTTAGTCATTGGCTTCATATTATCATGAAAGTGAACAAGTAAAAAAAAAAGGATCCTCCAAGTAATATTATCATGTTATAGCTTTTATGAGATTTTACTGGTTGGGTTTACAATTACTTTACCAAACTATGCTTGAGTTCTCTGAATTGCAGTGATGGTGTATGCCCCGTCTGTGTGCACGGATCTGTACAACCAAAAATCCTTTTGACAGTTAGGTCAACACCTCAGCTACTTTTTTCCTTTTAATTGGGGGTTTTACCCAGTACGTTTTTAGATTATATCTTTTAGTTTGGGGTGGTTAGAACTGATCAGGCAGCTGTTGCTTACAGTCCCATTCAATAGCTGCCTTTTTATCACAGCACCTCACTGAATCCCCTGAAAAAATTTCAAAACACTATACGTGATTTGTAGTCTTCTGTGATCTGATCTGATTTGATTTATAAAAAATAAGCTTCTCAGTCACCTCCAACTGTGCCCCTTCTCCATCCTCTTTTACTGACATTCAGTAGTCCATGGATATGATTGTTTGTAAACATTTTAGTTACAGCCCTGCCAATATTTACTTGACCAGGGCAAGGATGGCCAAACATCTTGCAAAGAACCCTTTTTTTCTATTACATAGGGACAAGGTGATGTTTAGGCCTAGGACTGTCTTCTGGAATAAGGTAGTAAGGCTATCCTGTGTTTGCTTGGCCAGGGCAAAGACAGCCTTACAAGGAAAAACAATTATAAAAATGAATTAAAAAATGTATAAATATGTTGTAAATAGGTACTGCAAATAATATAATATTTAAAAAATGTATATGCTGTACCTGACACAAAATGAACACAATATACAGTCTATGACAGTGAATGTCATACCTTGGACTTCTCTGCTAATATATTTGTCAGTTGAAGGAAGATTATAGGAAGAATTAGCAATCAAAGATCAAAAAGAATGGTTATTAAATACTCGCAAAATAAAGCTCTATCTGTCTCAAAAAAGTATTTAAAATTGATTTGGCTATAGTGTTGCATGCCTGAGTAATTGTCAGTGAAACTATCACAGTGCTGAAAACTCAAAAATGGCCTAGTAATAAAGGAATATTACAGACTGGTATCCAAGGGGCAAACCTGTGTTACTCAATATAGATATGAAATATATTGTTTCTTTCAGTGCAGGTATAGAAAATAGAAGCTGATTGAAATAAAACACTTTTTATTGCACTTTGTGCCTGAGATTTTCTCTGCAGTTGTTGATCAAGGCAGCTAATTGCAAAGAAATTCAGGTATAATAAGTACTAGAGGGAAAATCTACAAATCTATATACTGTATATACAGTATATTGTATATAATATACAATAATTCAAGTGTAGTAAAGTAAGTATTTACAAATTAGAAAGTCACAATAAAATATTTTAATCTATTGCAACCAGATTTAGAATATTTATCATATGACCTTCTAGATCAGCTAAATAAAGTAAATAAAGGCACTGCTAAGGAATATTGCTGGGTATATGATTGGGTTGTCATGGATATAAATGTAGACCATAAAGATGACAGTATACAGTAACTCTTGCACTTATTGGAGTATTATTAGCTTAATTAAGGAAGCATCAAAAAGTGTAACACCTCCCCCCCAGCCTAGGGTTACCAATTTTTGTACCTTGAATCAAAATAATAAGTGCTGCGCTCAGGGGTGGACTGACAACTCATGGTGCCCCCGGGCAATAGGGGATCATGGGGCCCCTGTTTCCTTGCCCAAACTCAAAAAAGCCTATGAAAAAGGTACCAGGGGCATCTCATGGGGCCCCCTACTAACGCCGGGCCCTTGGGCAGTGCCCGGGTTTCCAAATGGTCAGTCCGCCCCTGGCTGCGCTAAAGTCAACGTGAATAGTCAAGTGTTATCCTATACCAATTTCCAGAATTGTAAAGACAAAAAAAAATGTATACAGCCAAAAAACTGTAACCAGTAATATATAAATACTTTATCAAACAGTCATTTTGTATAAAAACCTCTCAAATAACAGTGCTCCTAAGTCATTGCTTCATTCGCCCATGTGAATTGTGAAAATACCAGGGGTCAGGGGGGAGGAGCCTAACTATGGCGGTGTAGGAGAGCACGGTGTGGGCGCTCTCCGTGCTTCCCCACCGCCTCGGATACAGACACTGGAGAGCAAGGACCGGGGGGGCCTACTGGAGTATGGTGGGTCCCGGATTGAAGATAGTGCTCTGGGCGCTGTGAGGAGGAGGTGAACTGTGTTGTCGGGCTGGATTGGAGACAGGCTGGAGACCCGTCCTAAGGGAGAGAGAGCAGAGGGCAGGGTTGCTGAGGAGACGAGGAGGTGCGGCTTGACCACGTGTCAGCCGCAGAGAAGCACTGGGTAGGGAAAAAGCCGGCCCGCGTTTAGAGGTGAGAGGAGAGAGGAAGAAGACACCGGTTCGCTCCCCTCCCAGTGCATGAGACACCCATATGGGATAATTGTGCAGCAAGATGCTCCCCCCTGAATGGAGGTGACTTTTTCACAGGGGATTGAAAATGAAGAGACCCAGAGGAAACCCCCCCCTCCCCCCCGAAGAGAGCTATAGACTGTGACAATCTGAGGAGTCTGCTGGGGCTGCAGTTGTGGACGGTGAGTGTGAGCAGCCTGGATGGACTATTGTGATGCATAAATGACTTTTTGCTGTCTAAAGGGAAAAAGAGGAATTGTGAAAGGGGGTTTCCCTGGGGGGTCTGACTGAGAGAAAGGAGGAAGTTAAAGCAGCCTGGAAGGAGCACTAAGTGGAGAACTGGATAAAAACAAATCGGGGTCCCTGGTATATATTCTTATCAATTTTTGTGTTTCCCCCATTGAAGAAAATAAAAACGCATAGAAGAGATGAAAAATAAAAATGTTAAAAATAGTGGCCCAAAGGGGTCTCAAACTGGCACGATAAAAAAAATATACATCTCAAGGAAATGTGACTCCAGATAGGTCTCAAAGCATTGGTGAAAAAAGTGAACTGGAAATGAGTATAGAAGGTAACCCTAGACTCTCCCTGGGAAAAAAATATAATAGTCAGCATGCTACAGAAAAGTTGGAGATGAGAGACACCGAAAGTGAATTACAAATTTCAAATAAGAAAGATGGCAGATATGTTCAAGAATCTAGAAAAAACATTAAAGCATCAAATGACAAGTATACGAAGTGATTTGGGCCAGATGCTATCGAGGGTGGAGGAAAGAGTTAAAAGCCATGCTCAATATATTTCTGATTTGGAGAAAAGGACAATGGAAATTAGGAAAGATCAAAAAAAGTTGCTATACAGAATGGAAGTACAAGAAAACAGGGAAAGGAGAAACAACATTAGGGTGAGAGGAGTTTCTGGAATCGGTAAAGGGAGAAGAAAAACACGAGGCCTTATATGTAAAATATTAAACTCCATTATGGACAGATCAGAAACAGAAAAGATTAACCTGGAAGGTGTTTTCAGGATAGGAAAAAATCAACAAGGAAGTGGAAAAGAGAAACCAAGAGATATTATAGTCCAATTTCAGAAATGGGAAGATTAAGGGAAGATCAAGTATTAAATATGGAGTAATGAATATACAGATTTTTGCAGATTTAACAGCAGAGACACTATGGAGGAGAAGATCTCTAAAACCTGTTAGAGCAGATGATAAAGCAAAAGGTGCATTACAGATGGGGTATGCTGGAGTGCCTAATTGGATGGAAGAATGGAGTTACAGCTCAGTTGAGATTTCCTGAGGACTTAAGAGACTTCTGTGATAGACTTGAGTTACAAATGATGGAGGGCCCTGGTTGGGAGGTGGAAGAAGGTGGCTTGGGAGTTGGAGAGAGAGAGGAGTGGCAGTTTGTTAGAAGGGGGAGATAGAGAATCGAGGGAGGGCGCTGGGTGGGAAAAAACTTTTTTTTTCCCATCCCGCTTGACGCCACCCCTCTCTCTCTCTTTTCCTCTTTTGGGACCTTAAGAAAGGTGGAACATATCGAATTGACGATGGAGATAGTTTTGGGGTATCTGAGGTGGTGGGAGGTGTGGGGATCTGTCCATGGTTTGAGTTCAACCCCAAGGAGGTCATCTATGGTGGGTTTGGTCCCTCAAAAGATATACAGGCAAAACGTAAGCCTAAAGGATGGGAGGGGTGGGAGGGGTGGACAGTGGGGTGGAGGGATGAGAGAGGGATGGAGGGAGGATAAGAGGTTGGATAGTTTGGAGGAAGAGAAGAGTAATAGGGGCAGAGAGAGAGAGGATAAGATAGATAAGAGAAGGAAAAGATATAAAGGAAATGGAAGATCTAAGATCTAAGATCTAAGAGAGACAGACCCGGAGGGGAGGTTTTTATTTCTGAGAGGTAAAATACAAGATATTGAATGTACAGTTGCTAATATTTATTGCCCTAAAAAGAAGCCGGAGATATTCCTGAAAAGAATTTTAAAAAGATTGATGGATTTTAGAAAGGGGTATTTGATAGTAGCTGGGGACTTTAATTTATGTATGGACCCACAAATGGATACTACTTCAT